GCTTTGACTATATAACATCTTATGACATACTTAGAGAAGCCATTTGTTCATGAGAAGCTAAAGAAAATGTAATAAACTTCATGATGATGTAATTGTAAATACCATATATCATCACGCTGTACAATAAATGGCATAATAAAGAGAATTTAGTTGGAAAGAGTTGTGTAAATTTACAAATATTTGGAAGTAGAATTATCATCAGCTCCCTAGGATCACTCTTGGATTGAGGCTAAAAGGCAGTAAACAACTAGTTGAAAAGTGAAAAATTCAGCTAATGAATTATTTTGCCTGTGCAGTATCACATGATCAGATGTGCTTGTTTGTAATCTCAGCTGAATAATTTATTGCTGTGATGGGTAGGTGCTTACAAAGAGCAGCACCGCTCTCTAGGAAGAGCACTGAGCAATGAATCGTTCAAATCTCTGCCTGACTTTTTCTTTAATTTTAAGATGTTTTTATATTTACGGAAAAGTTGCAAATATACTACAGAATTTGCATATTTTATTGGTCACCCAAGTTCTCCTAATTTTAACATTTTATATTAACCATAGTACAACAAAGAAATTAGGAAATTGACATTGGTGCAATACTAATAAACACCTAACACACTTTATTAGAATATCACTAGTTTTTCCACTAATCGACTTTCCCTGGTCCAGGATCCCACATTGCATTTAGTTTTCATTTCACTTTTGTTTCTTCCATCTGTGGCAATTCCTTAATCTTTCCTTGTCTTTCATGACCCTGAGACTTTTGAAGAGAACTTACCATGTATTCTGTAGGATGACTTGTATTTATCATGTGTTCTCATGATTAGATGGGGCTCATGCATGGGGTTGAGATGTCTCATTACTGATGATATTAACCTTGATTACATGATCATTTATCTGTAGAGTTACTATTATTCCTTTCATAATGAATAAACATCTTGAGGGGATACTGAGACCACGCCAATATCAAGGACCTAGTGAGATGGCAAAAAACCACAGAGGGTGTAACAAGGGTGATGATATGAGTCAGAAGTTTTCTTTGAAGGATGAACAATAAGGAGGTCAATGTTCTGGAGCAAAAGAGCCAAGGGTAGCAAGCAATAGATGAGGTCTGAGAGGCAATTGCAGAACAGATGAGGGGAAATATATGACATGGTAAGGAGTGAATATTCTTGCATGTTAATAATGCACTTGCATGCTAGCAGAATTCAAAAGACTTTAGACCCATGGTTCCAGTCCATCTAGATATAATGTGATGTACATACTTGAAAATTTTCTTTGAATGCTTTGTGGAGAATACAGAAGCTGGTCAGGATAACATAGAAGAGAAATGCCATGAAGAATGAGCCCTGAAGAATACCAACATTTAGAGATCTGGAAGAGAAGGACAATCAGCACCAGAAAATGAGAAAAAGTGGCCAATGACGTAACAAGAAAAGTAAGAGAGCATGGTTTCCTGACGGTATTTAAGGAAGGGTGGAGTGGACAATTCTCTATTAGGAATTTAAGTAAATTTGATCATTGAATTTGGAAACATCTCTCCAGCTGATCTGACAAATGAAATTTCAGAGGAGTGAGTGAAATCTGTGGTGTTCCTGGGACTGTGCTAGATTCGTGACAAATGTCCTCAAGGAGATTGCAATCGATTGGGAAAGATGGAACCTGGCATAATGAAGGGTGTATAGCAAACGTAAAGACACCAGTAATAAGTAGTGAGGTGATCTGCTCTTAGTCAACAGTTTGGGATTGAAGTCTTTGAAGGGGATTTTGAGATTAGAAAATATATCTATAGTGTGTTTTAATTAATACCCATTTGTTAAAATTTAAATGTAAAATTTAGTTTTCTTAAGCCTCCAACTTACAAATATATTTATTCATAAGAAAATAATTACTTTCAATAGTCTAATGAATTAATAAACTTATCCTCTTAGATAGCATGTGAATATTTGGCAATATTTATCTAGTAATATTTCTCCAAGCATTTCAAACTATAATTACAAATATAATATGTATTACAAATATTAAAAATATCCAGTACATCAACCTTACAAAGGAGGAAACCCTTCCAAAGCACTTAGGCAAGATTTGTATGTGTGATAAATGCAATTTAGAAATGTCTTTGATAAGCTCTTCAACTGCTTTTTGGACATATGGAAACGGAAGAAACATATACAAAGTGGCAAAATGGTTGCAAACTTTACTAAATTTGTATAAAAACACACCTTACACAAGAGCATAAATATAGCTGGAATGTATCAATATAGAGAATTATCTGTTATTGTTATTGCAAACTTTTATACCCTTTTTTCTAGCATGCCTTCTATTATGTGCCCCTTTTGTGTATTATGTATGGACTTATAACTTTTCACAAAATTCAGTTTTCTTTAGAAATCTGACATCTTCAAGACTAAGCCAGGGAGAGCCTGCTTTGAGTTAGCCTTTTGTTCCCTCAGATGTATGGGACAATATTTTTGCTCTCTGGCAACAAGTTGTTCCTACTTATCTTGGTCTTCCTTGCTCTACTGCATTTAATCAGCTATTGTCCTGTTTATACTTAGTGATCAATTGAACTAGAGACCAAAATCTAGATGGTAAGAATACGTACCATGTTGTTTCATATGAACAGCTGCATCTTCACGGAAAAACCAAAGGACATTTGATTAATTACCAATGACATCTTATTTATTTGGGCCATAATAGAGACAATAGAAACAACAACGTAATGTGCCAAGTGTGGTGCTAAACATGTGATACCAATTATTCCATTAACATTCACCCCCATAAATCTACTCTCTATAATGGAAAACCCCCCAAAACATTATTATTCCAATTGGATAAAGTAATACCTGGGTTCCAGAGCAATTACACACAGTTTATGGTAGAGCCTAGCTGCAGAACCAGAGAGGCTGGCTCTAGATCCCAGGCTCTAATACCTGTGGATTCTCTCGCCCTCTCGTTTATCTGCCAGTCTTGTTTACCATTTGTACTCCAGGACCTTGCATGGAACCCAACACATAAGAGAGGCTCAATAAATATTTGTTAGATGAAAAGATGAATGGACAGCCATGATTGTTTTTCTGCCTGAACTAAACAAACAAGCAGACGAACAAAAAAAACCTCACTTTGCAGAGGTAACTCAGATGAATGCAAGAATCTCGTGTCATTAGTGTACCTGAGAAAGACAATGCGAGTATCTTGGATGAGGGCATTCCTCTCCACTCTCCAATATAATGTAATTCACGTTGAAATCAATGGGAACTGAGCACTATGGGCATAGCTTGGCTGCAGAGCAGTTCTCATAGTTCTAAGACACGAGATTAAAAACACCCTCTGTTTGATTGTTTTAGTAAGGATTCTATCAGCTTAACTACCTACTGCCACGCTCACACAACAGGATATTAAACCATTAATATCCCTGGTTGTGCCCCACTATCTCAGTGCTGTTTTAACATGAGAATGCAATTAACTTAGTCTGCTCCTGTGAAAGGATCAGGCTTCTGGGAGTTTAAACAAATTAATAAACTTGTTGATTAGGAAGGAGAACTCACCAGCTTCCTCTGTATATTTTTATTCAGACAGCACATATGTAGAATGTGTTGTTATTTTTGTCTACTGGCTTTCAGGAAAGAGAGGATGGTCGCCAGCTGCTCTTCATCACCAGTGGGGTAAGAGGGGACAAGCTTTCGCTCTAGCATGAGGTCATGAGGTTCATTATAGGGAAAGTTCAATTTCCATGGGGCTTTTTCATCTTTCATCTTTGGAATGGATTGGTGAGGAAGATGGAAGCTTTTGTCAGGCAGGGTAAATGCCATTTTTTGCTGAATTATCAGATAGCAAGAGGTATTTCTTTTTCAAGTCAACAATCTTCTGCATTTTCCCCTTCTCTTTATATATCAGTAGCTCTCAAGTGATGCATAGAGACAAAATGGAATCCTTTAGGGAGATTTTAAAAACCCAAGGCCTAGGCCATACCCCAAACCAATTAAATAAAAAAGCTCTAGGGGTCACAGCCAGTTACCAGTATTTGTTAAAGCTCCGGGGATGATTGTAAACTAAACTGTAAACTAAGGGAAGCTCCTTAAAAGGAAGTTCCCCCAAACAAACTGTGGTGACTGAAGATTGTGATCAAGGAAATTTCCAATGCACCTTGAGCCTGAGCACAGGGCCTTGCCCACCGCCTGACCCTAGCTCAGCCTGGGGGTTGTGAGAGCTTCTATGCTCGAAGAAAGTAACAGAAGCAACCACTGCTCTAGAGAGCCGATCAGGATCAGTGTAAAAACACAGTTGAGGCAAACCGAAGTCTGTACCCTATTAAAAATCTGGGCTCAGCCTAATAAATTTGTTGGATCCACACTGTTCCTAAAACACTGCAGACTTGGGGTTCAGCAATCATCCTGAGCTTAGTTTCACCACCACCAACCCACCTTGAACTGACAGTCCAGGTACTCATTTAAACCCACTAAGCATCTTTTCCTGTAAAATTCTATGGCTTCTGCCTTTATCAATCCCATACTTGCCTTGGGTCTGGGAAACAGCCTTCAGAGATGCTGCTCTTCCTCTCATAAAACTACATATAAATCAAGTTCCAATGTTTTCATCTAATTGCCTCTGAGTTATTTTTGTAATGCTCTCCTCTCCTGACTTTATAAACTTTTTTGAGGCAATTTTACATTTTATTGTAACTAAATATACAAAAGAGCATTTTCCATTTTAACCATTTTCAGTTATAATTTAGCAGCATTAAGTACAGTCACAGAGTTGTGCAGCCATTGCTGTGATCCATCTCTGTAACTTTTTCTGAAGCTCTGTGCCTGCTAAGTAACGACTCCTCTTCCCAGCCCCTGGTAACCACTGTTCTCCTCTCTGTTTCTATTAAGTTCACTATTCTAGCTGCCTCATCTAAGTGGAGTCACAATAATAGTCTTTTGTGTCTGGTTTACTTCATTTAGCAAAATGTGTTCTAGGTTTGTACATGTGGTAGAATGTATCAGAACTTTATTCCTTTTTCAGACGGAATCATATCCCGTTGTGTGCATATGGGAAATAATTGCAAATTCACATGCAGCATTAAGAAGTAATACAGAGATTCTATATAACCTTCACCCAATTTCTCCCAAAGGTAAGATTTTGCATTACTTTAGTACAATATCACAACCAGGAAATTAATACTGATACAGTCCATTGACTTTATTCATACTTCACCATCCTACTTGAGTGCTTGCGCGTGTATGTATGTGTGTGTGTGAGTGCATTATATTTAGTTCCATGCAATTTTATCACATGTTGAGGGTTGGCGTGACAAACACCAGAGTTCCAACATAAGGAGCTCTGAGGCTACACTTTTATAGCCACAGCCACCACCTCAACCTCCCCTTCTCACTAACCACTCACAGCCATTAATAAGTTCTCCATGTCTGTAATTTTGTTATTTCAAGAATTCTATGTGAAAGGAATTATATATTATGTAACGGTTTGGAATTGGCTTTTTTTTTTTCCACTCAGCATAATTCCCTGGTGATCTATCCAACTTGTTTTGTGGATTAAAAGGTTAATTCTCTTTTTATTTGTGAGTAGTAGTCCATGGTAGGAATGTACCAAAATTTGTTTAACCATCCACATGTTGAATAGCACTAGTTTCTATTTTTCAGCTATTAAGAATAAAACTGCTATGAATACTTATGTACCAGTATTTGTAAGAATAAAAGTTTATATTTCTTAGAATAAAAGCCGAGTGGAACTGCTGAGTTGCATAGTAAATGCATGTTAAGTTTTGCTAGAAAATGATATGCTTTTATCAAGCATAGCAGTATAATTTCGCATTCTCACCAGCAATCTATATGTGATTTGATTTCTCTGCAGCCTTGCTAACATTTGGCTTTATCACTGTTTTTATTTTATTGGTTTTGATGAGTGTGTAATGGCATCATATTTCGGTATCAGTTTGCGTTTCTCTTAATGGCTAATGATGTTCAGAATCTTGTGCGCTTATCTACCATCTATGTATTCTCTTCAGTGAAATGTCTTTTTCATGCCTTCTGCCCATTTTTTTCAACTTCTCTCTCTCTGCAATTGACTAATGACATAGGCAGAAATTCAAAAAGGATATAGCTGAACTGAAGAGCAACATCAATCAACTGTATTCAGTTGATATCTATAGAATACTTCATCCAACAAGAGCAGAACACACATTTTTCATATGCTCATGTGGAACATTTCCAACATAGAACACATTCTGGATCATAAAACACATTTGAACAAATTTAAGAGAATGGCAATCAAACAAAGCATGCTCTCAGATTACACAGAAATTAAACTAGAAATCAATAATAGAAAGATAGCTAAAAATCATAAAATATTTCAAGATTAAACAAAGACTTCTAAAAACACATGGGTCAAAGAAGAAATCTCAAGAGTAATTTCTAAACAATTTGAATTAAATAGAAATTAAAATGCAACTTACCAAAATGCATGGGATGCAGCAAAAGCAGTGCTTACAGGAAAATGAATAGCATTGAATTCATTTATTAAAACAGAAAAAAGTTTTAAAATTAATAATCTAAGCCTACACCTTAGGAAACTAGGGAAAGAATGTCAAAATAACCTAACATAAGAAAAAGAAAAGAAATAATAAAAAATTAAAGCATCAACATCTCTAATCATCAGGGAAACTCAAATTAAAACCACATTGCAATATCACCTCACTCCTGTTAGAGTGGATGAATTAATGAATTTCACAGTTATTCTCTAAGCTTGTGGAAATGGGCCTTCTTTTTAATCTATGCCCATAGAATAAAATAGGTACTAATTTACTAAATAATTATTGAATGAATAAGTGAATATCTACCTACATGTATGAAAGACAGTGGGTTAAATAATGCCTTCCAAGACAATCATTCTTATGGTTCTTGCTGGAAGAATTAAGTAGGTGATATTTGAAAATTTCTTCTTTAATAAAAACAATTCAGAATTATTCTTTCTTCTGAAAGTTTGTGTTTTACAGCCAAAGTAGACAACTTCTGCCCAAGTCAGTCTCTGGCCACTCCTCCCTCAAACGAGTCGATCTATCATTTTTTTCTTTCATTATGGGAAAACAATTTAGTTAGACAAACGCTGGACAAATAATTCCACAATGTAGATATTTAGGCATTAAAATTTGAATTTTCATATGTTTTATGGCTGAAACTTGCCTTACCTACAAGCAATATGTCTAATGAAGATAATTTTGCTTCTAAGTTTGGGCTCGAAGCTCTCCTAGGAGACAAAAGCTTGCTTCTTAACCACAGGTAATCTGCAGCAAACATTGAAGTGTGCAGGGGTAGAGAAGAAGGAATCTAAGAAAAATAAGAAATTGTGGAATCCAATTAGAATCCAGAGATTTCTCAGTCAGGTGCTCACAGTGAGCCACATATATGTGAAAACCACAGCGTTACACTCATGCTAATGAAACTCTCCTCAAGAATTCAAATTGTGTTTATTTAGTGGACTCTTTAGAAATTCCAAATAATATGTAAATCATTCTGTCTCTCACCTTTGCCTTTGAGGTATTTTAAAAGAGATTATCTCTCAAGAAACATGTTTGCACACATATAAAAATATATTTTTATAAATACATTACAAGAGTCATTCAGAGGAGAGATGAAAACAAAAACAAAATCATGTGGGTGCAATTCTGAAAAGATCTTGCAAAATATCTCCCTGCGTTCAAGGTCACAAAGGGAGACCTTTTGACATAGAGCTCATGGAAGAAGATGAAATGTCTTCATTTTCAAATGAGCACATTGCCACTCTCCGTAGATTGTGTTTTTAGCAGGAATTGTGAGAAAAGTCCAATCGAACTGAGCTGCCTGTGTGCATAGATAGTCTTCTCCACTTTGCTGGAAGATTAAGGGAGATGTGGTCCTTTTTACTCAGTTAATGACCAGGCACTGCTTTATCGATCCTCGCGGGGCTTTGGAAGAGGGAGGCTGCCATGGAGGAAATGTGGGTTTTGTGGGTTCCATGCCTGGGCCGCTTATATTATGGCTGATTGGAAAATCAGTTCTTTCTGTTTCCTTTCATGTATCTCTGCATCAGTAGTAACATGCAACTAATCAAATAAATAGAAAAGGGTAGAATGAAGATTACGACAAGCTCCAAACAGGCTTTACAACTAAGTCATCCTAATTAAAAGCTGGCCTCATTTCTACCACATGTAAAAACGCTGGCAATGAAAACAAATACATATGCGACTTACACACTGACTTACTGTTTTACATTAGTTTTCACTGACCAGTGACTTCATAGGATTTGAGGGATTTTACTTTAAATTTTATTTTACTTTCTTATTTTCTTTTGGGTCATCGACAGCAAAAAATTGATTTGTCAACCTCCCGTTGTGTGAGGGCTGAAGCTCCCAATTATTTTTTAAAACTTCTTTCTCTTCTGTTGTGTCTTAGTTGTCATCAACCCTGTGTAGAAAACAGAAAGAGTAACAGGGGAACTGAAGGGATATAAAAACAAATTAGTCAAGTTTGTTATGTTTCCCTTGGTGAAAGGAGTTTAGAGAAGATATAGAATGTGAAGTTTATGCTCTATTCCTACTTTTACATTATTTCTGTCATCATTTGCCTTCTGATTTGCCTCCTTCCCTTCTCTGTTATTTCAGACCAGGTCCATTTCTGTAGGACTTTCATATTTTAAATATGGAAAACACACACGCAATTACTTCAGCATGAGCTGTCTGCTCTTTTGTGATTTAAATACAATACACACAAACAGAAATATGTGTTACTTTTAACTTTTTCTTTCTATTTACAGTCTGCCACATCTTTTGTTAGTAGTCCCAGCCAACCTACCATCTGAATGGAGTCATTAATGAGCCCAGAAAAAATTACCAAGAGGAGTCCAGATCACCAGAACCCAGTTGGTCCAAACATCTGTTAAAAAGTAAATGGTTGTTGTTTTAAGCCACTACTTTTTAGGGGTTTGTTTGCTATGCAACATTATTGTGGCAAAAGAGAAGTGATATATATACCAACCTAGACTCTTTAATGCTGTAAAGTGAACTAAGTTCTTTTCATGTGGCATTGCAAAAGTGGGTGTCATGACTAACTGACTTCATTTTCACATATAGGAATTGTTAAGAGAGGTTATTTCCTCCAAAGCCAAAAGAAATTGCTCTCTTTCCACAGGATGTAATGCCAAAATATTTTCAAAAATAAATAGATGAGTAGATGCTGATGTGGTCAAGACATATTTCAGGAAATAAGATATATTTGTCAATCTTGCATTGATTAAAATTTCTTTGATCAAATTTTTGAAAATTTATTTTATGTATATGCAATACATACTGACTCTTTGCTATTGGTATTTTATTTATACCTTCTAAATTAAAAATCATTACAGCCCGGCCTGGCGTGGCTCAGCGGTTGAGTGTCGACTTAGGATCCAGGCGATTAGGGTTCGATTCCCCGTCAGGGCACATGCCCGGGTTGCGGGCTGCAGCCGATCAATGACTCTCTCATCATTGATGTTTCTATCTCTCTCTCTCCCTCTCCTTTCCTCTCTCTGAAATCAATAAAGATATATTTAAAAAAAAAAAAATCAGTACAAAGTCTGTTGGGCATAAAATGCAAATGCAAACAACAGCTGGATAATTTATTCTGTTTATTTCTTCACTGTAATAATTTTTTTTAAACTCTGAGAAGGACTGACGGTAGATTTCAAAGGTATATGAAATATAATAGCTAATATAAAATTAGTAGTAAATAAGAAAGAAAAATAAACATAGTGAATGAAACAGGAGATAGAAATAAAACATACATTTTTGACTGATAGTAATATATTATTCATAATTAATAAGAAAATACCACGAGTTTAAATTTAAGTCCTTGTTAGCATCCAATTGAAACAGGCAAACCTGAACCAGTTACACAATTCATCACAACAGCAGTTTAGCAAATGTAGAATTATCCTCTATGGGACAAACTATCTAAATTAAAAACAAAAAAACTGGCCTATGTAGGATATTTGATTTTTGAAAACATTACAGATAGAAAAATACAATATGTGATTGCACGAGAAAGATCTTTTCACTAAAAGCAAAAATGAAAAAAGTAAGTATGTATTGAACAAAGAGCATCCGAAGGACAAGAAAGTGATCTTAGAAATTAAAATGTGACTCTTTAGAAGAAAAGAAAAAAGTAATTCCATAGGAGAAATAAAAAATAAATTTGAGCAAGTCTTGTGTGTGTGTGTGTGTGTGTGTGTGTGTGTGTGAAAAAGGACAATATATAACATATCTAGGAGTTCTAACATGTGATAGAAGGAATCTTTTTTAAAAAATGGAACAAAATATGGAGAAATTGTCAAGAAAATTATTTTTAAAAACTAATCTGTCTAGAGTTGAATAACAGAATGACATAAGTCTAAAGGTTTAAAGTGCCCATAAACATCTGGACAAAATATATATATTTAAAAATACCTTGTATGATTTGTGAATTTGTAGAACACCAAGAATATGCAGAAGCTATTAAAATTTCCAGAAAGAAAGTGGTGACTTATGAAGAAACAAGAATCAGACTGAAACACTTAACAAGCAACTCTGGATCTCAGAAAGAAATGTTTCAGTAATGTTTTCACTGGACTTAGAAAAAAGAAAACGTTTTAATCTAAATTCTGAAACCAGCCAAGTGTCAATCAGGGCAAAATTAAAGAACTTTTTAGATATTCAGGGCCTCAGAAAGGTTTACCTTTCATGTGCTCATTGTTACACTGTGCATGTACTTGACAGTAATAAAAGGTGAAGAAAAAATGTAAAAAACGGTACATAAAATGGGGTTTTCCTGCCTTCTAAATTGTACTTAACCTGATGCAATTACATTTACAGAAAAATACCTAAAACCTCCTATGTGGATTCATGAACATGGATGAATTTATATATCTGATAAAATATTCAGAATTCATAACATCTGGGGGATAAATGCACTTTGTAAAGGTAATCTTGGTTTAAACAAGATTAAACAGGGTTTGGGGGGGGCAGAAAAGAAGTGTTTAATTCATGAAATAAAATACAGTTCTTAAGCCCTTTTGAAACCACCTCAGCTGCACCATCAGCAATTAACAGAGTTCTAAGAAAGTGCGGTATTTTCTGCCCATTCGAATGGGCCTGGGAGGACACCTGCTTGGGCACATGAATGTGAGTGGGCTCCCCTTACTGCCCCGGTTGAAAGTAAAACATGGCATCTCTTTTAACATTTCTTTTATTTCCAGATTCAGGCCAGGCTTCCTTGTAATTATTTTGAATTGGTGGAATTGTAGTCCATTTGTTTCTTGAGCCTTTTATTAATATTTTTTCATTATGGAAAATAATGCAACTGCACATATCCTGGGAGTAAAAATTCAAGGAAATAATCTCATCTAAGTTATTTCTGATGTCAAATCACACAATCCAGAAGTCAGGCTGTAGCAAAACATAAAAAGAATATGCTTTATTAAAAGGCACTCTCAGTTACAGGAAATTGCAATTAGGTGGGCGTATTAGTAGACATTTCATAAGGCATTTCCATGAGAGGTGAAGGCAGATTTCCGGCCTTTTTATGACCCAAGTACACTCTGAATACACTATATCTTAGCTAAAAGACTTAAAGTTAAAATATGTTAATAGCAAATGTTATGAAAGTGTGTCCAGCCTGTTTTTACAGAAAATGAGGAAGCAAAGCAGAGTGGAACAAAATCATAGGTCTGCCTTGGCCAGCGGCTGGAGAAAAGTGTATGCTACATAAGAAAAGTTATGGCAAGAATCTGTCAATAAAATCTGTTAAACGAATTAAGTGGCTTTGCCATGCCAAGGGTAAGGCAAAAAATATGTCTCTAAATTAATGTAACATTGCCTTTTATAAAAACGTAATTTGTACTTAGAAGAAAGAGGAGGGCCCAATTTGTTGTACATATGATATGAATATAGGAAGGGTGTGCTATGTATGTATTGCATGTGCATATGTAATACATGCAGCATATGTATGTATATCCATGTGTGCGAATGCATGTAGCATCCTTTCTATAATCATGCTGCATGTGTAATAAACACAAACATATTGTTCAGAAAGAATTTGAGGCAACTGGAGGGTTTTTAGAGTTTTTTAAAATAGTTTATTTGTATGTTTTTTATGACTGTGCCAATAAACAGACAAAAGCAGAAACTAATATTGTCAACACTGTATACCTACCATCCAGATTTAACAAATGATGTTGACACTTGGACATATTTGCTTTCACATCAGTTTCTTTTCTCTTAAATAAATACGCTGTGGCAAATACAGCTGATGCCACCCTTTTCTCCGTTTCTTTCCAGATTTTATTTCTACACTGACATTAGTTATTATCAGTCCCATCTAGGGTTTTAGACTTTACCACCTACATATGGTCTGTAAGTGGTGGTATTTTCCATGTGCTTTTTATTTATATATGTGTTAGCATCCTGATGCATTCTTATGCAACTCGTCTTATTTACTCAATGTTCCATTGCTCCCTGGTGTTCTGTTATATAAACAGACCACATTGCATTCATTCAGATTTACTATTTGCATTTAGACTGTGAGCAATTTGTTGATCTTCTAAATAATGTTATAATGCATTCTTTTAACAGCCTTTCTTGAGCACGTTTGTGACTTTTTTCTACAACATATAACTCAAAGTGAAATTGCTGCACCATAGGCCACAAACATCTTTGTGTTTTTTAGAAAATGCCACACGGGCTTCCAAATAGTTGTAACTCTTTACATTTCCACGAGAAGAATATATGAACATTGTCATTTCTCTAGTTTTTCACCAACACTTGCTATTGGTTTTCCTAGTGTATATAACACAGATGTAGACAGAATGTTCTTTCTCTCTCCCCTCTCCCTCTTTCTGTGTGTGTGTGACTATGGATAAATACAAACACATCTGAATACATGCTTTTAAGTTTTGGACCATTGGATGGGTATGTATAATGCAAAAAGTTTTAACAAGAGAAAGCTTAAGGGTTTAACAGGTATGAAATATAAGCCAACATTTGCACACTTTACCAGATTTTATTCTCTAGCTAGATTTTGAAACGATTTTATTCAAAAATTTATCATTACATAAATTACATTCTTGAAAAAAAGTGAGAGATGTATCCAAGCCACACTGCTTTTATGCACATATTTGGGTCAGAATCTGTTCCCAGAGCCCCTTGTTTGCACTGTGTTAGAGTGCACGTGTCACACTTCAGGTGATGAAACACTTTCACGTATGTTATTTACCTTGCAGGGGAGATACTCCGTTTAGACTTAAACCACCTTTCTAGTACAAGGCTTGCAACATGCTATCATTTAATCTAATTCTTCAGAATCTTAAGCATATTAGCTCGCATTTTAAAAATTAAGAAAACAAAACCCAGAGATAGGAAGACACTGTGAAACATAATCAGAGAAAAGAGCGATGATACAGGATTTGAACAGAGTCCTGCTTCCAAGTCTATTCCTCTGGGCTTGTAGTTCATTCACTGGTTTTGTTCTGTTTCGACTAAGGAAACTAGAAGAATAGTCTGTAGGGACCTTGTTACATCAGAGGAATTTTGGTAAAATCTGAGTTTAAGTTAATTTTAGAAAGGAAAGGGGACAGGGAATTATTGGCTTTTAAAATCAGGCCTAGAAAAGTTGGGTCTGTGCTTTCCACCAGCCAAAGAGCTTGTAAGAGGCTCCATGGGACTGGAGAGTGTGAGGAGGGACACAGGGCTCCAAGCACATTTCCAAGGTTAAAAGAAAAAGGACATTTTCATATCTGGGCATGATATCAGTAATTGACCCAGATGAAGAAAAGAAAAGGCAAGACACTGTTGCACTGTTTTTCTCTAACAAAACTCACTAGAAAATCATCCCAGTCACTATGGTAAATTTCCATGCACCCATTTGCAATTTATTCTTCATTCTGATCTCCTGGAATTTTTCCACCTGCAATTTGCTTTGCCTTGCAAAAGTCATACTTAATGTTTGACTATCCAATGCAGAAGCCTCCAAGACTGTGTTTCTGCAAGAGCACAAGCTCTTAACTACTACTTGGGTAAATAATTGCAAATGCACCTGAGCACAGGTATTGCAGAGCTTTTCCAAAGTGCTGGTTCTGGACCCCAGGTCCTGGGACGCTGGCTCTCATGCTCATGAACCTGGAGACCCTAAGCTGTTTATTTAAACTCTCTCCGCTTTGGTTTCTCCATTTGTAAAATGAAGAATTTTGGTGGTTTATATTTCATGAAAATTAAACAAAATTAAGCAGATGAAGTAATTAGCAAAATGTCTGGCACCTACTAAGCATCCGATACATACATGCCAGATATTATTTTTATCATAATTTTGAGCAACATACTTTGCATAACTTTAAGTAATAATGTAATAGGCACACAGATGCAAGTGGGCCGATTTTGCCATAAATAGCCTTTTTACCCCCGATCCCATATTGTATCTGACCTTGAAGTTAGAAAATACATTCAGTCAAGATCCTCTTTAGTCATGAGCAGGTGACATGAGTCTGCAGAGGGTTCAAAGCCAAAGATATTGCTGACCCATGAGTCCATTCTAAGCTCTAGAAGAACTAATAATTGACTACCTATGACCCACAAGGGCATACCTGAAGTGCAGTGCCTTTCATTTCCTTTTAGCCAAGTTTCTTTGTTGTGGTTTTTGTTTACATCTTTCTTTCTCTCTCTTTCCCCTCCCACCAAAAACAAAAGTTATCTCCCTGGAGCCAATCCAGGGCCGGTCCTGAGGACCTTTAGAATGGTGAAACACAGATTTTTATTAAAGAACACTAAGAGGACCAAAACAGTGAGAGGGGGGAGCAAAAAGTAGAACCCTATGATATTTTTAATTAATAAAATATTTTTCAATGGAAAAGAAAGAATAGTATTTTTATTTCTTGGGCAATGGCTTTGTAAGAGCTTGGTTAAAAATTATAAGCAGTCCGAAAATTACTTCAAATCTGAATCTGAATTTTTTTAAGGTTCAAGTAAGTTCAGTCCCTCTTTTTTGTTTAATTGTGTGCCTTGGTGTGTAGTGGTTGCCACCTGGGACAGGAGGAGGGTTATCCGAATGTGAAGAGAGCCTGTTCCTTGGCTGTTTATGGCCAATGATGATGGGGGAAGAGTGAGAAGCCTTGCAGGAGCATGGGGTCATATGAGACTTCCAGACCAAAAAGGTTTGGAAACTATTCAGAGAAGTACTCAAACCTTGTGATGTGTATCTGTCCTCATGGCTTAACCTTCACAGATCCATTCATCGCCAATGATGGCATTCACTCTACCGAATTTCCCTATGGGATTTCTATGGAATAAGTTGTTCTTGGTAGCATTTCTAAAATAAATACTCTGTTTGGGGATAAATATTTAGACAAAATCAAGGATAAGGGTTTCATCTAAAAGTTTTAAGGACAGTTAGATATATTTGAGAGAGGCCACTATCTTTTGAAACATATCTGGTTGATTTACTGGCATGATTATTTCAGTACCACTGATATCTAGCCATTTCCTAGCCCAGATACTGGATAAGTGATGGTCCTATCCAGGGGTTACTATATCTATCTCAACTTTATGAAGATTGTCTTAAAGTGGTTTAGGCATATCATCAATTATTTAACCCTACAGCTAACCCAGTGACAGCTTTTGATTTAGTTTTTTAGTTACTTTTCACTTAATGTTCTAAGCTTTTCAAAGAACCCAAAGAACCAGGCAAGCAATAACTTCCATGATCAAGAACACAAAGTTAAAAGAAACATCATTGATTAAGGCATTTTGAGGACAAATTTTTACAGATGCAAATCTAGGTAATCATTTGATTAGCTATCTAAGTAATACGTGATTTTAAAACCTTTGTTCTTTAGTCACCATTAAAAAAATAATGCATCCAGAAAGTTTGTGTAATACATTAATATTTTCTTTGTAATCAATTTGTGTCTGATAAGTAGGTAAAATAATACAGAAACAATATGTCACCAACACTCATTAGAAAGTTTGAAATTATTGCTTTAAAAATTCTTATTACTAAGACACATTTCG